ATACTATCTAACTGATTCCTAAGGTGCATAACAAGTCTGGGCACTACTTTCTGGATGATATTAAATGTGGTCGCCCCTACTATTAATAACCTGCGGATACTCGTAATGCAATGTATTACTCATGTTTGGAGTCTCCAATTCGCATCGAGAATTTTTAAGTTGCTGCTCCACCCGGCACCGGCTACTGCAACATCCGAGATCTGGACCTCGTGTCTATTCTGTTGCATTCATTGTCTTGTTCATTATGAGGCATTACCATTGTTGGGCGCCGTTATCATAATATAATTTTCAATTTATACACTAATTGCTGAAAAGAAGTGAATGAACCTGTCAGGGTGACTCGTTTATGTACCTGTGCCTGCATTTGTTCCGGTAATGTTGGCCGCCAAACAAACCGATCATTGGCTACGCGTCCAGACAAGCAGAAAATTAGAACGGGAAGGAAAATAAGGGAAAAAAAGGAACGGGGGTTTAAAAAAAAAAGGGAAAACAAGGAATAGGAATTAAATCTCCTCAACTGGCTGCTTGATCTTTTCTGTTTTTTTTCCTTTTCAATTTTTTATCTTTTTCAATTTTTTTTTTCTTCGCTGGGCCTTACCCAATTCGAGGTCCCTGTCCCCTCCACTTTGCAGCCCCTCTCCTCCTCCCACTCAATCAATCAATCATCGGCCCTTCCCCAATCACTCTCTCACTCTCACTCCCTCTTTATTATTACTATCACTTAGTACTACCACTAATTGCTCTTCCGGCATCCTTCCCTTCCATCTCTTCCTTGAACATCCACCTTCCGAGAGATGGGCTTTTCCTGATAAGGGCAGTGCGCTGACCATTCAGCATTTCCCTCCGTTCATTCATCCTTTCCCCCCCGGATTCTTCTCTCATCATCCTCAATTCCCACCCTTCCGCCTAGACGGTTATCGTTCGATTTTCGCCCATTCTAGAACGATGAACGTCGATGAAGATCGCCAGCTGGATCTGTGAATAATACTTTAGACTCGCGCGTGCGATGGACGCTAGAAATTCCCACCACTATCAGCCAACGGCGCGCTCTTTGGCCACCGACCACGAGCACGTCTTGCCTGTGCTGAGCAAACCAGCTGCTTGGGCCTCTCCCACTACTGCTGTACATCCAGTCACGATTAATAATAATACCTATCAACATCCTCATCATCCCTACTCTTATCCGATCTCGACATCCAGCCAACCGCTTGCTTATGGTCCTGTTCCGCCGCCGCCCCAGCAATCAATACCTCCGGCCCCCGTCCATGCCGACTCGCAGACCTTCACCACTGAATCTACCCGGCAGGATGTAAACAGGAATGGGGTCACGAAACCCCGCAAGTCGCGGAAGTCCAACAATGCCGCCGCGGGGAAATCGACATTGTTTTGGGTGCATACCGATCCACAGTCCGTGTCCGAAGGTACCAGGGAGGAGACACTCAAGCGCATTCGTTCCCATGTCATGTCCGAGCACAACCGCAAGAAACGGCTAGAAAACACGAAACGCTACAAGAGTAAAACCTGGAAACATCTTGCCTTTCAGCCGGTGGAAACTACAGCCTCCAGTTCGTCAGCTGCAGCTCCGTCTTCTTCGGCCCCTTCTGCTGGATCCTTCCCGAAACCAAGTGTCACCGAATCCTCTTCCTTCGGCACACGCATCGTCTCTGATTCTCCCTCCTCTTCTCCATCATCATCCTCTGGTTCATCGTCGCCCGAACAGCGACAGAAGGAAGTACCGCAGCAGGAGTTGGTGGTCACTGACGCGGGCAGTTATCCATCTGTTTCTGCCGAGACAGTGGACAACTACAGCGTCGATACTCCATCGCAGAATGCTCTCGCACCCGTGCAGTCCGCAACTCCGTGGGCTTATCTGGGCGGTGCTACCGACCCGTTCAATTCAATGCATACGGTCATGTCGGACCGTATGTGTCGACATCTTCAGCACTGTAGGTTGACTTACAATAGACATTGAAAGGCGTAGTTCTAACGATCTTCTGCAGTTTTCGACCTGACTCAGCAGGCCTATCCTTTGCAGCGCCGGTATGGACCTAAATTGCGGGATCACTGGACCGCATTGGTTCAACAAGATCCGGTATCATTGCACGCTTGTATATGTGTAGCCGCGTCGAATTCCGCCTTGGCAGCAGGGGAGCTCCCGCTGACGGACCCCAACAAGCGGCGTTCTAGCGTGCTACTTCTGGACACGTTCCATCATCGCGGTGAGACGATTAAACTAGTCAACGAGGGATTATCGGATCCGATCAAGGCCTCCAGTGACCAGCTGATTGCCGCCGTGTCAATCCTTTTGACTATTGAGGTTAGTACTGCCGAACCATTATGTAAGAGGTTAGCTAACTTGTCAGATTGCATCTGGCAATGCCGACTATCTCAAAATCCATCTGGCCGGTCTCCGACAGATGGTAGGCATGAGGAAAACCTTCGCGGATGTACCGCCCGACGTTCGATTCCAGATATCATGGTCAGTTTAACTCAAGCTTTGGTGGAGTCTGTGGGCCGGGACTGACTCGAGTAGGACTGACATCCGTGTGGCGTGCATGGCCGGCACCAAGCCCATATTCCCTTTTATTCGTTACGCCCGTCCCTCACAATTGGCGCTCATGCCTCCTAATGAAGATCTACTAATTTTAGCTACGCGTTTGACACAATTAATTGAGATACCCGGCATCTTTGGGGATGCCATGTCCAAGATGATATATGACCTGGCCGCACTGACGTGGTACTGCGAATGGATCAAGAGTACAACGCAATACCAAGACTTTGACGATGAGACGGAGGACTACTTCAACACCGAAGTCCTGTACGTCGAATACTCCCTCCATGAGGACCGGTACACGGCGACAGGTGAAATCAAGATGGAAGCCACCATCGAAGGCTGCGTTCGGCTGGCATGCCTGGTGTTCCATGACACCGTCATTTGGGGCTTCTACCCGCACATCGCGCCGGTGTTCCCCAAGCCGGTGACTGCGCTTCGTTTCGCGCTGGAAAGCACGATGAGTGCTGGATACTTTGAACTGTGCCGGGATGTGCTGATCTGGATCCTGTTCATCGGGGCGTGCAGTTCGCGGCTGCTACCGGAGCGGACCTTTTTCGTGAACGAACTTGTTTCGGTACTTCGAGAAGACGGAAGCATCCACTCGTGGCAGGACCTCCGAGCCCTACTTCTAGGCTTTTTCTATGCGGACCGGAGTTACCTGACTCCGCTACGAGAACTATGGGAAGAGATTGAGATGAAGCTCCGCGCACCGCACGAATGTATATAGACCCGACATAACACTCATACATAGGACTGATCGCATGTTCATGTGGCATGTATGATATATTAATGAGATATGGTATATATGACAAAGCTGCCACAATCGTTACAATTCCTACAATCCTACTACATATCCACACATGATCCTCTCGATCTTGAAAACAGGATGATCAACCAATCAGCCATAATCCCAGATATCACACCATTCGGGATCCCGACTTACCAAGCCCGAAAACAGGACAGTAAGCCCCAAAACCAAGCCTTGTACAAAAAAATCCCTCACCCATACCAATCGAACAAACAGTCACCTCCCAATAGCACAGTCCCAACCAGCCACGCCCTCTCCCACACCAACAAACGAGGAACTAAGAAAAAAACCAACCACAAAAAAAAAACAATGATTAAAGAAAAGCCATGCATGAAAAAGAAAGAAAAAAGAAAGAATCCACTTACACGAACACTTACAAAAAGTCCACATTGGCAGAACCCAGCCAACAGCAGCGGATTGGACAATCGATCTCGGGATCAATCAACTAAGTACATGAACTAACTAGTAAGGTATAAGTAGTAGTGAGGTTATTTTTTTCTGACACTTCCGAGAAATTTCCGTCCGAGTGAATTCCGCTCGAACGCCGAGTCTCTGCCGCTGCCGCCGGTCGGTCGGTCGATAAATACTTACGTCGGTCTCTCGTTTTGATGCTAGCCTTGCGCTTTTTTTTCTTGTCTTTACTTTTACTATGTCTTCATATTTCGTTATCTGTATACTGAAACATATAGCGCTTTGACACCCTCTGATTACACAGCACGGAGTGTGCATTGCTTGTTTAGGACTATCTACTACTTACTACTATTGCTATACTACAAGTCTATACACTAACAAAGTACATTCATACAAAGAACAGTCAAAACAACAGGGAAGAAAAGAACTAACTGACAGCTTGGAAACGGCCCGCCGATTTACCTGCCCAATTACTTGATTGATTGTTTGACTCATATTCTTGGTTTCAACTTGTGCGACGTCGGAGAGTTCGCAACGTTGACAAAGTGTCAAGCGACCGGGATATTATTTCTTTGTTTCCTGCGGTCGGGGATTACTTACTACTTACTAACTGACTATTGAAGCTTTTCTTCGAAGGTTTGGAGAGTGAGTTGCATTGCATTGTGTTATGTTGCGTGCAGATTATAGTTTCTTGGTTTCTTTTTATACTTCTTTTCTTTTCTTATTCATGCTTTCTTTGTTCGCGTTGGGGTATATAAGGTCTATCAGGACTGCTGCGCAGGACTAGGGGATGAATGAGACTAGGGGATGGGTGAGGTAGGTGTTCAACAGCATTTACTTCAGGTCAAGCTGACATAAATCATGTATTCATTCAAGGTTAATCATTTCATTAACAAAAACTAAACATCCAAAACCGACGCGTCCCCTGTCCGTCGCACTCGACAACGGACTGCTCCATCATTATTACCCAGGTTCCGATAATATATATCCCAATGGAAACCAACACAATAAACAAAACACTGCTCTGGATTGTTTGGACCCGCTGCAGAGGGCTTGCACGTCTTGACAAGACCCCCCAAGTGGTCTACAACCTGGACCATTCCCCGCGCAGCAATGGCCTTACTAGAATGGGTATCTGAAACATAACAACTGCAGGTGTATTACTCTTTCTTTCAAGAGGCTCCTTTCAACGCGACCATGTCGATGGCCCAAACCCACGCGACTGGTTTAGACAGTCTCACGGGGGGTCTTAGCACGGCTACGAGCAGTGGGAGACCAGGGGAAGTGAGCAACAGGGATGATGAAGAAGCTGTTGCTGCTGTCGGCAATACCGGCCAAGGCGTTGTACCAAGCGGCAAATGCAGCCAGGAGACCGAAGAAACCACCCGCCTTGATGACGGGGGTGTTGGGCTCGCCAGCAGAGTTCCGCTGCAGGTAACCAACACCAAGCAGCAAGAAGGTCAGGTCCAGGAACAGGAAGAGGCAGAAGAAGGCGACAGTGGATCTCAGAGTGCAGAACAGCAGGATGGTGGTAAAGATGAACCAGCCCTAAGGAGGATAGTTAGCGCGATGCTCATTCTTCCAGCCATTGATCAAGCTTACCAGCAGGTACAGTCCCATCGAGTTGTAAAACATGGTGGCGCCACCGGCGGATTCAATCGACGACTCGATCTCGAACCCACCGGGGGTCAAGACAATGGCGAAAGAGATCCAGAAACCTCCGTAGGAGGACAGAGCAGTGGCACCGAAGGTGTTTCCGACAGCCATTTCCCTATCAATAACGATCAGCATTTCATTTCGAGGATTGTGGCAACAGGGTGTACATACCACATGCCAGCAAGCAACTGAACGAGACCACCATATCCGAAAGCCAAACCAACGACAATGTTGTTCGCAGAGATACCACGGGTTCCCATGTTGATCAAACTCAGGAGGAAAGTAGTGAGGGCGAAAGCGCAGAGACCCAGAGGAGCCGGGTTGGCGAACTTGCGCTGCTCGACCGACTTGTACAAACCAGGCTGGAATTCACCTCCGAAGGGGCGCAGGTTGGCCTCCTTGGTGTTGACGTGAGCCATGGGTCCATAGCCAAAACGCGCAGCAGCTCTGGCGGTCTCCTCAGCGGTCAACTCGTGGGTTAAGGGAGCACTGCCGTTGCTGCCGTTCTCAAGCTCAGGAGCCATGTCCTTCTCAATAGGGTGTTCAGCAGACATGATGATTATCGGGAGATAATTCGATCAAGGATCAAAAGGTATAAGAGGGAGATTGATTATAATGGTTTAAGATCAAAGAGCAATCCAGCTAGCTGGAAGGTGGAGGGAGATAAATATATATGAAACCACGGAGAGGGGAAGAGGAGTTCAAAAAGAAATATGATGCGCACAGCACTGCTGGCCGGATCAGCAAGGTATCTTGACGACGACTGGGACCGTGCAAGATGTAAGAGGAATAAATAGAAGCAATGAGGAGAGAGGACAAGGGAGAAGAGGGGAAAAGGCGAAGGTCAAATAAGAAATTGGAAGTGGCCCGGCCTGACAGTGCTTCTCGCTGGGATTAACGGACTTTGGGATGAGACCCAACCCGGACGAGCGAAGGTTGCAGGGAGCCAGCAATTCTACCGGATTTGGGAGGAAGGACCGTTAGTTGAGTTTAGCCTGGGATTCTAGTTGGTTTGGTAAGTTCTCCTCTTTTTTTTTTTTATTTTATTTTATTTTATTTCGATGCTCCATTTTATTTTATTTCATTTTCATTCGACATTTTCTCCATGGGATCCGTTGGTTAGCGTTGATCTGAGCAAAATTTGGGAAATTTTTCTTTTTTTTTCCCTTCCTCCCCTCACCCCATCTGTCTTTTTTGGGGGGGCATAATCTAGCCTGTTATTATATCATATTATTATTTTTTATTATTACGGTGTCACCATGATTTTTATTACTTTATCATGCTTTGTCGGCGATGCGCAGGAGTGGAGCGGCCGAATTTAGCGTTGGCTTTTAAAACGATGTGCAGGAATCCACCTGACGGGCCACTCCCGTGTGTGTGAATGTCCCTAATTGACGACTAGAAGTCAGGCTAACACAATGGGTCTCGCTGGCGAGAACTTGGACGCCGTTCACCATCACCAGAGACACAGACAAGAGGGAGGCGCCGATCCTCCATCATTCTGCGGTATTCTCTCCATTCGTCCATGAACCTCCCATTGGAGGCATGGGGGATTAGACTTTCCGCAAACCATGGGCAAGCGGGGGAGAAGAAGGGCTTTGCCATCGTCTTAGAGGGTTGTTTAATTACCTAGGTTAAAGGGCTGGAGGGAATAACCCCATAGGGCCCTAAAATGCAGGGTGGAAGGAACATGGCTCCATTCGTCCAGCAAGGGCTGCAGACTCACACGCGGACAACCTCTCAGATGGCAAATCCTTCGTGTGTGTCTTTCTCTTCCTCTAGTCGACGACCGGGTATCGCCTAAGAACGATTGACTCTCCAAGCCCGGGGAAAGCAAGGGCAGGTGGAGATTAAAGGCGCCCGAGGTCTGGGGAAAGAGCCAATTAACGTAGTAAAAAGCTGCCACTGGAGACTCGACCTCCGAAGGGTGCGTTGTTATTGGTGTAACCCATCAGATGTCTTCGGCCGTAGTGCTGCCTTAGTCAGTAATACGGTAATATGGATGTATCTTTTGCTGAGCTGGAGTGGTGTGTTGTGTATCTCTCCAATTGACTGCTAACTTAGCAGTGGTATTTGTTTTCTCTCCAGTTGCAATAATAAGCACCGTGTACATTCCAGGTCTCATGCCATATGGTCTGGATTATTCTACAATCCTTGTATGTTTATGTATATCATTTATGGGGCTCTATAGATTATGATTGCCATCTCGTATGATGTGGCCCTTTCTTTCTTTCTTTCTCTTCGGTTACCAGCCACCCTCTCGCTACTACTAGTAGTTCTGTAGTCCCTCGTAGTCCATCGACTAATCGATCGCCAAACGGTGCGGCTATTCCCTCCTCCAAAAGGGTACGGGTAAATTAATTACATACGAACATCAGTCTCCAGCCGGATCATCCGCGGAAGCTGTGCTGTCACTTCCATTACTGGATGTCACCCCAAGCCAGTAAGTACTTAGTAAGTAACTGAGGCAGTAGTAATGTGACTCTCGTGGGAATTTCTCATTTTTGAATCCCATCCGTCCGTCACCCAGAGTAACGGCGGTGACGGTATGTCTCTTGTCTATCGTTGGATCTGTTGCAAGGGAAGAGAAATGGAAAGAAAAAAAATGACTATCCATTCGACAATAACAACAACAACCCCAGCAGTTCCCTTCCCTTTCCGTCCGATCTAAACTGCACTGCACGATGGCCAAGTAGCATCTAACCCGAAAAGCTGAACCCACGCCTCCATTGCCGCAAGGAGGTGTGACCCGACCGAAGATGACCCAGTTCTGGTCCCATACAAGCTAAGGGTTAGTCTACTTTTAGTTGGACGCTGTGGCTCATTGGAAGAGTCCTAGCTGGGTGACTGGTGGAGAGTACTACACAGTAAGTAGTACTGTAGTAGTTTAGTAGTACAGTTGCTTTGGCAGGTGCGGTGATTGCGGGCCCTTACCTCTCGCATCACTTCTGCTTGCTAAGTTAGTACTCCTGCGACGGGGACTGTGCCTAACTGAGGTTTAGTAGTTCTGTTAGCTGACCCGGCTGCGACCGTACCTGCTTTTTGCTTACATGCTGCTTGCTTGCTGAGAAATCACTGAATGATCCTAGGTGTGGGTAGAGGGGGGGGGAACGGGACCGGGCCCGAAATCTGAAGCTTTCCGAGTCTCAAACCGAAGGGTCATACCGTTCTCTCCAAGCGCCCTTAATACATTGACTAGATGCAGTGTGAGATGCAGGCAACGCGGCTGTGTGGGTTCTATTCAATATGCTTAATCTTCCTTTTGAGATTGCTTATGAGGGAATTTTTGTTTTTCTTCTGCAGGATATCTATCTGATATCTGACTCTCTATCATAGGTATCCTGACTTAATTGTACGGAGCAGCTGGTTCGTTTTCAGTGGAAACTACGGAGAACTTTCTCTCCGTTGATCGCCGTGACGTTGAGCATAATTCCGGTACATGCGACATTATCAGTCATTGTCCGCGCAACCAGAAGAAAAAAAAAAAAAAGTCTGAAAAAATAAAAAATAAAAGTACGATGTTGCCATCGACAGGATCAGCATTCAACCTAGAGAGCAGCTATCTTCATGCTACATCAGACTAGATACTGCTAGACACGAGACGAACACTTCCATCTGGGTCGAACCCCCATCGGCTCCAGATGGGTAGATTCCCCGTGTGCGGCGGCGGTGGCGGATGCCACCCGACAGACAGACAGACAGAACCAACGATTCTGGATCCAGTAAATATCTACAAGAGAGGTTTGGGGGATAGACTCCGTTCTCGGTCTGTTTCGTCGCGGCACAAAGGGACGCATCCCCACTTGGAGCGCCTCTTGGCGACCGTTCTGCCGCGTCGCCGATTTTCCCTCTCACTCTCTCTTTTCTTTGCCTGTTCGTGTCAAGCTCAAACTCGGAACGTCGCCAGCCGCGTCTCCGAGTTGGCTCCCCCTATTCTCTCCCTTCTCTCCTGCCTGCTCTCCCGTCCACAGCCTCAATTGATGGCGTACGAACAAGCTCAAATTGGCCCGGGACCCAGTCTCCCACTGCTCATCGTCATTTAAAATGAACCCCCCTTTGACACTTTTGACACTGACAGGAGGGTAATCCCTGAGCAAATGTCCGTTAAGCTAGTCAGATTGTAAATTAAACATTCAATAGTTAATCAGTCGGGTCTTTTGAAGGTGGAAAAGCAAAGCTGTCAAAAAGTAATGAACCTCGAGCTTATCATGACAGCTATACCAACAATATCCTCAGTAATCAGTAATCAATTTAGCCAAAGAGCTGCTTTCACTTTTAGCCATTACTAGTTTCGCACAATACTTGCTTGCACCATCGCTTATTATTTTTCATTTCCATTTCCATTATATTTATTTCCATTATATCCTAATTCCCTTTCCCTACTCTGTACGTACGGACCTCGGCAGCCACGGAGTTCGGGTCGGTAAGTAAGCCGTAAAAATTTCTCTCTTGTTCTCTCTCACTACCATCTACTACTAGCTAAGCTAGCTAGCCTAGCTACCAAGGGAGTAAGCCAGCATGCCAGGTACAACGCACACAAAACCTTCCTTCCTGCAGGGTTTTCTTCAAAAAGCGAGCGAGCGAGCGCGTTTCTCCAGCAACAAACGAAGCCAAATCCTTCTAGAGCGATTAGTTCGCATCCCATTCCTTCCTAAGACTCCCCTTCTCGTCTCCGACCGGGAAGCTTGTTCCTAGCGACGACGACGGCGACGACGCTGCCGGCAAATGCTCTGCAGGGCGAGGCCACTACTATGCAGGTCGCTGCACGAAGACGGAGCCACACCAAACCAACCAACCAACCTAGCACGCCGTAGTAATCTATCTAGGCTAGATAGATACAAGTTCAGTCCAGTCCAATCCAATCCAATCCTCGTATGACTCCCTCCCTCCCTCACTGGAGTCCTGGACTCAAAACCTGCGCTTTGGCTCCGCTCTAGATCGTGGTCCGGTCATGGCACTAAATCCTGCAGCCAAGAAATGAACTTTCAACAAATCATTTCATCATCCTGCATTCCCTGTCCCAACAAATAAATTATCCACCTATCTGAACTTTGCGAGGGAAAAAAAAATCTTCGTTTCTTTTCAAAAAGCTCGGTCGCGGTTCGTTCAGATTAGTTCAGTTCAGCTTGTGCGGCGGGGCCCAAGACTAGTTTTTTACTTATGGTGCCACTTGTAGAAATCGATGGACAGTAATGCTCGGAGAGAGAGATATCATCGCTAAACAGCGATAGTAATGGTGTGGACTGTGGACTGTGGGACACACCCAACTTCAGCCTACGGGATCCCGGGCCGGCAATTACTCCATCTCACTAGAATGCTAGATGCAAAAGCCTACTTGGTGCAGTACCCACGATAGGATGGATGGATGGATGAAAGATGGCTTCATATGCATGCCTGCTTAACTATCTGCCTACTTAGTAGGCAAATTGCACGTGCACGAATCCATCTCTTTGTCTTGTCTTGGCTAGGCTAGGCTACATATATATGATATTACGCAGTACGTTAGTTTTCCAGTCCAGTCCCCATTTATATTATTATTATTATTATATTACAA